GAGGAGGAGGAGGATGAGGAGGAGGAGGAGGAGGAACGCCGCCAGCGGCCCAGAATCTGCCACTAATGGAACGATCTGGCGATCGAAAAGCCGCTGATCGGTCGGTGTTGGGCGATCCACGCGGTGCCAGAAGACAGCGCTGGGTCGTCACGACGCGGGGTGCTTACCAGTGAGGGTGGATATCATGACGGGGGCCATGATATCTCCCCGCATTTCGTTCCCACCTCGTCTTCCTTCCATGGTCCCAAAGGTTCCCCCACCCCTCGTCCGCGCACGTGCCTCTGGCCATGATCTGCGACCCCCCCGCTTGGGCGCCCCCCCCCTGGACGCCCCCGACCCTGGCGGGGAGATGGAGAAGAGAAACGAACTCGGGGTGCCCGAGACGGTGCGGGGATCACACCGTGCTCGGGTGTCGAGGGCCACACCGTGTTCGGCCCACGCGCCTTCCGAAAAGCCGCCCTCGGCTTCAGAGACGGCGCTTGCAGGTCTTCTTGGAGAGCGCGAGGGCTTCTGAGAAGTCCCGCCGCCTCCTGAGAAGGCCTGATCCCTCTCACTTCCCCCCCTGGGCTTGCTGCCGACGTGTGGCGAGTCGGTGGGAGTTCGTGGTGACCGCACGGTTTTGGGACTCGGGTCGTTCTCCGAGGATGTCTCGTTAGTCTGGGGCCTCCAGAGTCCCAAAAAGGTGCGGCGGCGGACCGTGCCGGGAGGTCCGAAGTCGAGGTCACCGCAGGGTCCGTCACCACACGTGTTTGGGACCCAGACATGCGTCCCAAGCTAGCCCACGCGTGTCTCAGCGAGTGAACAGCATTGTTCTCGGGTAGCAGTCGGCAGTGGTATCCAATCCCAACCCATCGTTAACTATGGTGTGTGATTGTGTTCATGGTGTGCGGCGGTGCACAAGCAATTTCGAGCGAGTCTATCTCTCAGTTACTCCCACCTGGTGAGACTGCCCCCTAGGGCAAGGCTACCCCTTCAAGCCCTCGTTCTCAGCAGCCTACCTGGGCCACGGAGCTAAGCCAACCATTCCACCACCCGAAGGATAATCGTGGTCCGCCTCCCCCTCTTCCCGCATTTCCTACTCCTCTTCCTCCATCCCTGTTCCTTGTACGTAAGAAACTCCCCCCTGTCACACCACCAGACGCGTCCGTAGGCAGGGTCAGACCTGTTCGCTTTCACAATGTGGATCTCGCCTGGGCGCCGCGCACACTCGTTGAAACAAATCCAACAGTTACACGTATGGATAGGCCGTCTCCTTTTCAACATGGGGATCACTCCTTGATCTTCTTCCTAATTAATTGTGCTTGGCCTGGCGTTCAAATGTTGTGCAAGAGTTGCGCGGCTGAATGGGGGAGGCTCCTTGACACAACCAGTGGGGGTCTTGCCAACGAGACTTCCTCGAGTTTGAACACACAACCTTGAGAGCGCGTTTCTGGGGTCCTTGGGTGCGAATCTTTGCCCGATGCGTCGAACATTGGGGCACCCCTCCCCCCAACATCCCAAGCACTGAGCGAACTGGACCATCCCCCGCCCTTCGCACCTTTATCTTGGCGTGGCGGCCACGCGCGCGGCGGCGCGGCGAAGGCAGGCAAGCGGGAGAACGCGCGTGGCCGGACCAGATCACGCGGCGTGGGGACCAGGGGTCCACCCAGAAGGGGATCAACCGGGCCACTCGTGGTGGGCGGCGAGGGGAAAGGGAGGGGGAGAAGGGGAGAGTGGCGGCACGTGGAGGCGTGCAGCGCAAGAAGTAATAGAGGCGCAGCGCGAGAGTGCAACGGCACTGCGACATAGGGAGGAGAGCAGCAGGCAGACAGCCCGACCACGGTAGACTGACCCGCCCTTCACGCAACCCCCCCGCTCCCCACTCCCCTCGCCTCGCGCATTGGGGGCGGGACTTCCCCCCGCGGCGCCGGCAAACGAGGACGACGGACGACGACGACGACGACGACGACGACGACGACGACGACGACGACGCGTCCCGCCCGCCCGCCCGGCGTCGTCTGCGAGTCGGTCGGTCGGCCGGGCGGGCGGGGCACGTCGTCGTCAATGTCGTCTTCGTGGGTGAGTCGGTCGGGCGGGCGGGACACGTCGTCGTCGTCGTCGTTGTCGTCGTTTTGTCGTCCTCGTTTGCCAGCGCCTGGGGGGGGTGTTTCAAACCTCTCTCGCCTTGCGCGAGTGGCGGGGGGAGTTTTCCAATCCTTTCTCCGGCGAGCGGGAGGGTGGGGGTTCTACCTACCCCCGCCCTGTTTCTTCGGGAGGATTCTCCCTGGTATCTGGACGTCCAGGATTTTCTCAGGCCACCACAGCACGTGCTCTCTCAGAGCTTGGAGATTGTTCAACGAGTCTGCGCGCACAGACGGAGGGCACCTCTCCTTCATAAACCGAGCTCTCGCTGGCCATTTTTTTGAACTCACGAAACGGGGTCGCGCCTGAATGGTAGGCCCACGGGGCGTTCGTCCGTCAACTGGGGCGCTTCCCGCAGTGGAAAGAAACATCTGCAGGGACGGGTCAGGAGGGGGCTCGGGACGGGAGGGTAGATTGCAGCATCGTTGATGCGTCTTGGGTCTGTCCTGGTCCTCCCCCTACTTCTCCCTCTCCTCCGCCTCCCTCCCCCTACGTGCAGATCACCCCTATCCCCTTCTCATACCCTCTCCCCGTCCGCCGGCGCGCCGAGGGGGGAAATGAGAGAGAGAGAGAGAGAGAGAAGGAGAGAGCAGGCCTTCTGAGAAGGCGGCGGGGCTTCTCAGAGGCCCTCCGGCCTTACGAGAAGCCATGCGTGTTTTCGGGAGAAGGCCTGGAGAGCTCCTGGCCAGAAGCCTCTGGGCCCTCTGAGAAGGCCCGCTACCTCTGCCTTCACCCGCCGACCCTCTTACACGTAATTCTTGTTCCTGCCCCCCTTTCCCATCCCCTCTCCCTGTGCCCATGCACGGGCAGGAGCTCAGCAGAAGTCCTGCCGACGACTGTCTCCTCGGCGGCTGCCCGAGCCCTTTCAACAGCGACGGCCCGCCGGGCGACCTCGCAGCGCTGGCCCGCATCGAGGCCGAAGGCCGCCGCGGGTTGCCTGCAGTGGGAGGAGGAGGAGGAGGAGGAGGAGGAGGAGGAGGAGGAGGAGGAGGAGGAGGAGGAGGAGGAAGAGGAGGATGGCAGTGGTGATCATGATGTTGTTGTTGGTTGTTGTTGTTGTTGTTGTTGTTGCTGTTGCTGTTGCTGTTGCTGTTGCTGTTGTTGTTGCTGCTGTTGCTGTTGCTGTTGCTGTTGCTGTTGCTGTTGTGGTTGTGGTTGTGGTTGTGGTTGTGGTTGTGGTTGTGGTTGTGGTTGTGGTTGTGGTTGTGGTTGTTGGTGTTGGTGTTGGTGTTGGTGTTGGTGTTGGTGTTGGTGTTGGTGTTATTGTGGTGGTTGTTGTTGTTGTTGTTGTTGTTGTTGTTGTTGTTGTTGTTGTTGTTGTTGTAGTTGTAGTTGTAAGTGTTGTTGTTGTTGCTGCTGTTGTTCTTGTTGTTGGCGAACCACTAGCTGGCGCCCGCCCCCCCTCCCCCCGGCGCAACGCGACGCAACGCAACGCACCATGACCTTTACAGAATCCTATAGTCTCCCATGGCATTCGTATATGAGTCCGATCGGAACCTGTGGAATTCGTATAGGAATCCCGGCGGATCCTAGGGGATTCGTATAGGAGTCCTCTTGGATCCGATGGGATTCGTATAGGAGTCGTATAGGATCTCATCGTACTCGTATAGGAGTCCTATACGAGTACGATGGGATTCGTATAGGAGTCGGGATTCGTCTAGGAGTCCTACAGGATCCTCTGGGATTCGTATATGAGTCCTTTCGGACCCTATGGGCTTCGTATAGGAGTCCTATGGGATCCAACTGGCTTCGTATAGGAATCCAATGGGACCCAGTGGGATTCGTATAGGAGTCCTATGGGATCCTATGGGGTTCGTTTTGGAGTCCCTCTGCATCCTATGGGATTCGAGGACTCCTATCGGATGCGATGGGTTTCGTATCGGAGGCCTATCGGATCCTATGGGATTCAGGAGTCTGATCGGATCCGATGCGATTCGTTTAGGAGTCCTGTAGGATCCCATGGGATTTGTATAGCAGTCCTATATGATCCGATGGGAATTCGTATCAGGGGTCTTATCGGATCGTATGGGATTCGTATGGGGGCCCTATCGTATCCAATGAGAGTCGTATAGGAGTCCTATAGGATCTTATTGGATTCGTATAGGAATCCTATCGGATCCTATGGGATTCGCGCAGGGGTCTTATAGGATCCGGTGGGATTCGTAAAGAAGTCCCATCGGATCCGATGGGATTCGTATAGGAGTCCTATTGGAACCAATGGGACTCGTACAGGAATCCAATCGGATCCTATGGGATTCACACAGGAGTCCTACAGGATCCGACGGGATTCGTATAGGAGGCCTGCAGGATCCCATGGGATTCGTACTGGAGTCCTACAGGATCCTGTGGGGTTCAACGAGTCCTATAGGAACCCCATCGGGCTTCAACGAATCCTATAGGGATCTCATAGGAATCGTATAGGGCTTCAATGGTTTAACGAATCGCATAGGAATTCTGTAGGAACCCCATAGGGCTTCAACGAATCCTATAGGAATCCTGTAGGAATCATATCGGGCTTCAACGAACCGTATGGGAATCCTTTTGGGATCCAGCGAATCCTTGTATAATCCTACAGGAAACCTATGTGGTTTCAACGGTTCCTGTTGGAAACCTCTGGGAATCCTATAGGAATCTTACAAGGCCTCAAGGCATCCTATAGGGTGACTATAGGGATTCAGCGGATCCCTGTGACATCTTATGGAAATCCTGTAGGGCTTCAGCGGATCCTGCAGGAATCGTTTAGGAACCCTACAGGGCTAAACGAATCCTATAGGAAGCTTATAGGGCGTAAACGAATCCTCAAGCAATCCAAATAGGAATCCTATAGGGCTACAACGAAGCAAAGAGGAATCCTACAGGAGTCCTATAGGGCTTCAACGAATCGTATAGAAATCCCATCGAGCTTGAACGAATCCCAAGAACAAATCTTATGGGGATCCTGGGCTTCCACGAAGCCTACCCGTCGGTGTCCCGGCGGTGTCCCGTCGGTGTCTCGGTAGTGAGATCGATCGTAAGATCGATAGTGATATCGATAGTGAGACCGATTATGAAATAGATAGTGGGATCGATCATGAGATCGTTAGTGAGAGCGACAGTGAGATCGATAGTGATATCGATAGTGAGACCGATCATGAAATAGATAGTGGGATCGATCATGAGATCGTTAGTGAGAGCGACAGTGAGATCGATAGCGAGATCGACATTGAGAGGGATATGGAGATCGACAGTGCGATCAATAGTGCGATCGATTGTGAGACCGATAGTGAGATCGATAGTGATAGGGGCAGTGAGATCGATAGCGAGATCGATAGAGTGATCGATCGTGAGATCGATAGTGAGACTGATCCGATCGATATTGAGATCGATAGTGATGTCCCGTCGGTGTCCTGTCGGTGCCCGGTCGGTGTCCCGTAGTGAGGTGAATAGTGAGATTGACAGTGAGACCGATAGTGAGGTCGATAGTGACATCGATAAGATCGATATTGCTATCGATAGTGAGATCGATAGTGTTATCGATTGTGAGACCGATCGTGAGACCGATCGTGAGATCGACAGTGAGATCGATAGTGAGATCGATTGACTGAGGCGTTGGTTCTTCCTCCCCGAACCTTCTTATCACCAGACGGGTTGTTTCATAGGTCAGCTCAAGGGCGGCCCTCCCTCATCTCTTTCCCATACTTCTCCGTTTTCGTCCCATCCTCCTGCTCTATCTTCTCCTCCTGCGTGCAGGATGTGCCAGGGCTTCGAGTGGCGCCAGCGGAGTCTCTGACGAAGGGGCCGCAGCCAGGCCACACCGGTTTTTTCATGCTCTGCCGCCCTGGTCGACGTGAGGCAGCCCCGACCTTGGGCCCGGCAGCCCGATCGATCCCCTCTTGGTTCTTCCACTGGTGCAGTCAGGATTAAGTCGGGCCTGTCCCTCTACAGGGGGAGTATTCGAAAGTAGTCAAAAAATAGTCAGGGGGCCACTGTTTGAACATTTTTGGGCATCTTTTTGAGTATTTCCCAACCATCCTGTGGTGTTGGGTCCTCGTTTTGAAGAGACGGTGCCCCGCGTCTCCTTCCTCCTCCTCCCGCTGCCTCCTCCCTCCTCCCCCTCTTCCCTGCGTTTCACCCACCCAGTACAACGTTTCGTGGCCCCATAGGGAGCTCCGCTGAAGGCCCCAGTGCTGCCGCCCGCATGCGTCCCGCACAAAGATTTCGGCACACCCCCTTTACACGTTTCGTGGCCCCATAGGGAGCTCCACCGAAGGCCCCAGTGCTGCCGCCCGCATGCGTCCCGCACACCCATTTCGGCACACCCCTCACACGTTTCGTGGCGCCATAGGGAGCTCCACCGACGGCCCCAGTGGTGCCGCCCGCATGCGTCCCGCACACCCATTTCGGCACACCCCTCACACGTTTCGTGGCCCCATAGGGAGCTCCACCGAAGGCCCCAGTGCTGCCGCCCGCATGCGTCCCGCACACCTATTTCGGCACACCCCTCACACGTTTCGTGGCCATATAGGGAGCCCAACCGAAGGCCCCAGTGCTGCCGCCCGCATGCGTCCCGCACGCCCAATTCGGCACACCCTTCACACGTTTCGTGGCCACATAGGGAGCCCCACCGAAGGCCCCAGTGCTGCCGCCTGCATGCGTCCCGCACACCCAATTCGGCACACCTCGCACACGTTTCGTGGCCCCATAGGGAGCTCCACCGAAGGCCCCAGTGCTGCCGCCCGCATGCGTCCCGCACGCACAATTCGGCACACCCCTCACACGTTTCGTGGCCCCACAGGGAGCTCCACCGAAGGCCCCAGTGCTGCCGCCCGCATGCGTCCCGCACACCCATTTCGGCACACCCCTCACACGTTTCGTGGCCCCACAGGGAGCTCCACCGAAGGCCCCAGTGCTGCCGCCCGCATGCGTCCCGCACACCCATTTCGGCACACCCCTCACACGTTTCGTGGCCCCATAGGGAGCTCCACCGAAGGCCCCAGTGCTGCCGCCCGCATGCGTCCCGCACACCCATTTCGGTACACTTCACACGCTTCGTGGCCCCATGGAGCTCCACCGAAGGCCCCAGTGCTGCCGCCCGCATGCGTCCCGCACACCCATTTCGGCACACCCCTCACACGTTTCGTGGCCCCATAGGGAGCTCCACCGAAGGCCCAGTGCTGCCGCCCGCATGCGTCCCGCACACCCATTTCGGCACACCCCTTAGACGTTTCGTGGCCCCATAGGGAGCTCCACCGACGGCCCCAGTGGTGCCGCCCGCATGCGTCCCGCACACCCAATTCGGCACACCCCTCACACGTTTCGTGTCCCCATAGGGAGCTCCACCGAAGGTCCCAGGGCTGCCGCCCGCATGCGTCCCGCGCACCCAATTCGGCACACCCGTCACACGTTTCGCGGCCCCATAGGGAGCTCCACCGAAGGCCCCAGCGGCGGCGCTCACATGCGCATGCGTCCCGCACACCCATTTCGGCACATCCCTCAGAGGTTTCGTGGCCCCATCTTCCACCGGAGGCCCCAGCGGCGGCCCTCACATGCGTCACCCACACCCACCCAATTCGGCACACCCCTCACACGTTTCGTGGCCCCATAGGGAGCTCCACCGAAGGCCCCAGCGGCCGCGCTCACATGCGTCCCCGCCACCCATCCCGGCACGCCCCTCACAACAACAGGTTTCGTGGCCCCATGGGGAGCTCCACCGAAGGCCCCAGTGGCACCGCCCGCATGCGTCACCACCCGCACCCAATTCGGCACACCCCTCACACGTTTCGTGGCCCCATAGGGAGCTGCACCGAAGGCCCCAGTGGCGGCGCTCACATGCGTCCCCGCCACACATCCCAGTACACCCCTCACGCGCTTCGTGGCCCCATAGGGAGCTCCACCGAAGGCCCCAGTAGCGGCGCTTACATGCGTCTCCGCCACCCATCCCGGCACCCCCCCCCGCAGCAGCATCATGTTTCGGGGACCCATAGGGAGCTCTTTTGGAGGCCCCAGTGGCGGCCCTCACATGCGCTTCCGCCACCCATGTCGGCACGCCCCGCGCGTGTTTCATGTCCCCACAGGGAGCTTCACCGAATGCCCCAGTGGCACCCATCTCGGCACACCCCTCACACGTTCCGTGGTCCTATGGGGAGTTCCACTGAAGATGAAACCCGCAGCTGCGGTACTGACAACTGCATATGGTTGGGTTCTTCGCCAGGCTAATTTTTGAGTATTTTTATTTTTCGCCCAAAATCCCCCTGTAGGGGGACAGGCCCGACTTAAAAGTCAGGACGCCGAAACGAGGACCCACGCCAGATCCCCTGGTATTCGCCAAGCCCCGTGGGGCCGTTGGTGGGGTGGCGTCGTTCGTCTTCTGGTGCGTTCTGGCCCATCCTCCAGATCGTAGGCCAGGGAGGCACGCTCGTGGCCGAGGCTGCCCGCCAAACGGAGGAGCCGCTTGGTTCCGCAGTCAGCGCTCCTCAGGGTGGCACGATGACGGCAGCTCCGCCCCCCAAGCACCCCCCCCCCACCCACCAGACGTCGCCCCGCCCTCCCATCCAGAACCGCCCCACCCCTCAGGCCCCGCCCCGCCCCCCGAGCACCCCCCCCGCCTGCCCAGCAAGCGCCGCCGTTGAGCCAGCTGCCGCCCTCCTGCCGAGCACCGCCCCGCCCGCCAAGCCTGCTCCGCCCCTGCCCCCCCCCCCCCTCCGTCCAGGCGCGGGCGGCGACCCCTTCGCGCAGGCACACCCGCAGCTCGGCGGGTTCCTGGAGTCCTTTGCCGCCGGGAGGCGGCTGGTGCCCAGCCTGTGCGCGCTGCTGCGGAGATTTCCGAGGCCGCCTGCCCTACCGCGGGCGCTCGGACGGGGCGGGGGGGGGGGACGGAGGAGTGAGGGGCTTGGCATCGCTCGGACGCGTGCATTTGTCTTGGCGAGGGCCATCGAGGAGCATCTCGGATCAGCGTGCGAATCGTAAACGCACACAGCCGAACGTTGCACGGGGAATGGATTTTTTTGACAGGGCCTCGGGATGCATGCCCTCCTGGTCACAAGGCGCTAGCTCCCGCAGACAAGCGCCTCTCCTGTACGAGACTGCAGCCGCTGGTTGTCTCCTTTGAGGTCAGCAACAACAGTCTGTCGGAGTCCTCGGGTGCGGCTTGGGAGCGGACAGCTGGCAACCGCAGCGCGAGCCTCGATGAGGCGGAGCGCTTCCGAGACTCACGACAACTAAGCAGCAACACGGGAAACCCCTCCAGAGGGGGCCTCGGCTGCACAGAAAAGAAAAAACGTCCTGTAAGTGTAGGACCCTCGCGAAGAGAGGGGCCCAGGCCCGTGGCGGCCTGGCCCCTGCGACGCCACGACCCGAGCCACTGTCAGGGCAGACCTATGACCGCCCCCGTGCTCGGCTAGGAAATCAGCTAGGAAATCACCACTGACGAGCGTGCCGCGCGCCTTCCCCCTGACGCGGGGTGCCTGACATGCGTGCCGAGCGGCCACGAGTGCGCACACACGACGGACGCGCACGAAGCTCGAGAGAAGAACTAAAACGACCGCCCACACAAGGACGACGAGACCCGCCATCCCAGGTGCAGAGAGCGCCAGGACGACAGCAAGACTCGCCCCAGATGTGGGGTATACTTGAAGTTGCCTCCTTCACAGGAGACATGCCAGTGGCCTGGGGCCATAACCTGAACGCAAAAAACACGCAAACACTGAAAACGACCGCCCACACAAGGACGACGAGGACAGACGCCCCTGATGCAGAGAGCGCCAGGACGGCGTCTGGCCTCGCCCCAGATGTGGGGTGAAAGCACGGATGCCTGCCAAAAGGGTCAGTCGCATCGGGCCGTGCAGAAGAGTATACAAGTGAAACAAGCAGGTACGTGCCTGCCGATTGGCCAAACTCGAGTCAGTCCGTCCGAGCGGTAGCGAGGGAGGGAGGGGGGAGAGGCAGGGACTGGAAGGGAAGGCCCCCCTCCTCCCTCGTTCGCTCCGTACTTCCCCTCCCCTGCTCCTGCCCCTCTCCTCCTCCACTCCTGCCTTCCTGCCCTCCCGCCCCCGTCATTTGACCTGCTTGGACGGCGCAGTTGTTCATTTCTACGTATCCTCCCCGCGCTGGGGAGGAAGAGGCGGAGGAGGAGGAGGGAGGGAGGAAGGGATGGAGGGAGGGAGGGACAGAGGGATGAGGAGGATGACGAGGGAGGCAGGAGAAGGAAGAGGAGCAGGAGGCGTTCCACCCGCCCCCCCAGGCTGCCCCAGCGGGACCGCCTTGCGGCCTTCGGGCCGCTGCGGCGCCTGGTCTGCACGCTGCTCTCCTGCGTGGGCGGCGCCCAGTACCTCGCACAGGACGCTTCCTGAAACTGGGGGGTCTGAGTGGATATCGGAGGTTGATAGACCTCCTACCCTGACACGTCGATTAGCGAATTGGCCGCTTTCGGTTCGCGAGAGGGCGTCGCGGCCGTCATTATTGCGGGTCCAGGTCCGTCGGTTTCGGTCCTAGGCCGTTTTTCCCAACCATCCTGTGGTGTTGGGTCCTCGTTTTGAAGAGACGGTGCCCCGCGTCTCCTTCCTCCTCCTCCCGCTGCCTCCTCCCTCCGCCCTCCTCCATTTCGGCACACCCCTCACACGTTCCGTGGGTTCATAGGAAGCTCCACCGAAGGCCCCAGAGCTGCCGCCCGCATGCGTCCCGCACACCCAATTCGGCACACCCCTCACACGTTTCGTGGCCCCATAGGGAGCTCCACCGAAGGCCCCAGTGGTGCCGCCCGCATGCGCCCCGCACACCCAATTCGGCACACCCCTCACACGCTTCGTGGCCCCATAGGGAGCTCCACCGAAGGCCCCAGTGCTGCCGCCCGCATGCGTCCCGCACACCCATTTCGGCACACCCCTCACACGTTTCGTGGCACCATAGGGAGCTCCACCGAAGGCTCCAGTGCTGCCGCCCGCATGCGTCCCGCACACCCACTTCGGCACACTCCTCACACGTTTCGTGGCCCCATAGGGAGCTCCACCGAAGGCCCCAGTGCTGCCGCCCGCATGCGTCCCGCACACCCATTTCGGCACACCCCTCCCACGTTTCGTGGCCCCATAGTGAGCTCCACCAAAGGCCCCAGTGCTGCCGCCCGCATGCGTCCCGCACGCCCAAGTCGGCACACCCCTCACACGTTTCGTGGCCCCATAGGGAGCTCCACCGAAGGCCCCAGTGCTGCCGCCCGCATGCGTCCGCACACTCACTTCGGCACACCCCTCACACGTTTCGTGGCCCCATAGGGAGCTCCACCGAAGGCCCCAGTGCTGCCGCCCGCATGCGTCCCGCACGCCCAATTCGGCACACCCCTCACACGTTTCGTGGCCCCATAGGGAGCCTCCACCGAAGGCCCCAGTGCTGCCGCCCGCATGCGTCCCGCACACCCAATTCGGCACACCCCTCACACGTTTCGTCATAGGGAGCTCCACCGAAGGCCCCAGTGCTTCGTCGGCACACCCCTCACACGTTTCGTGGCCCGCTACCCCAGTTCGGACCCGCTGGCCCCACGCATTCCCGTCGGCACACCCCTCACACGTTTCGTAGGGAGCTCCACCGAAGGCCCCAGTGCTGCCGCCCGCATGCGTCCCGCACACCCATTCGGCACACCCCTCACACGTTTCGTGGCCCCATAGGGAGCTCCACCGAAGGCCCCAGTGCTGCCGCCCGCATGCGTCCGCACACCCAATTCGGCACACCCCTCACACGTTTCGTGGCCCCATAGGGAGCTCCACCGAAGGCCCCAATGGCGGCGCTCACCGCATGCGTCCCGCACACCCATTTCGGCACACCCCTCACACGTTTCGTGGCCCCATAGGGAGCTCCACCGAAGGCCCCAGTGGCGCGCTCACATGCGTCACCCACACCCACCCAATTCGGCACACCCCTCACACGTTTCGTGGCCCCATAGGGAGCTCCACCGAAGGCCCCAGTGGCCGCGCTCACATGCGTCCCCGCCACCCATCCCGGCACGCCCCTCACAGGTTTCGTGGCCCCATAGGGAGCTCCACCGAAGGCCCCAGTGGCACCGCCCGCATGCGTCACCCGCACCCAATTCGGCACACCCCTCACACGTTTCGTGGCCCCATAGGGAGCTGCACCGAAGGCCCCAGTGGCGGCGCTCACATGCGTCCCCGCCACACATCCCAGTACACCCCTCACACGCTTCGTGGCCCCATAGGGAGCTCCACCGAAGGCCCCAGTAGCGGCGCTTACATGCGTCTCCGCCACCCATCCCGGCCCCCCCCCCAGCAGCATCATGTTTCGGGGACCCATAGGGAGCTCCACTGGAGGCCCCAGTGGCGGCCCTCACATGCGTTTCCGCCACCCATGTCGGCACGCCCCGCGCGTGTTTCATGTCCCCATAGGGAGCTTCACCGAATGCCCCAGTGGCACCCATCTCGGCACACCCCTCACACGTTCCGTGGTCCTATGTCCTATGGGGAGCTCCACTGAAGATGAAACCCACAGCTGCGGTACTGACAACTGCATATGGTTGGGTTCTTCGCCAGGCTAATTTACTAAAGGGTGGTTTACTAACGGGAGGTTTGTCCACCGCCGAGGATACGGAAGACAAGGCGACGCATACCAAAGTGCTTTCGGGCGTTTTCGTCGGATCTCGGCGGCTCTCCGGCCTCAGGATGCTCTCCAGCTGCGCCTCGCCGAGAGCGTTTCTGGGGCGCCGGCGTCCCGAACGGCCGCTGGAGAGCCGAGTAACGACCTGAAAGCCAGCACATCTTCGGTACGATCGTGATGTGTACGGAAAGAATGTGGACGAAGACGGACACCAGTTCTTGTCCATTTGAGCAGGACTTGCCGTCGGCGTCGCCTCGGACGTTGTCCGTTCGAGCCGAGCAGAGGCTTGCCCAACACTTGCTGGTGTCGGCTCTTGGGCAGCTGCTGTTGCTGGGCATCGTGCCCATGGTTGGTTCTTGTGCCCACTTCGGGCGACGGGTGGGGGCGGACGGGCGGGTGAGGAAGTCACCCCAGACCTCCTCGCGGCGTGAGCGAAACAAAGACGCGGCGGAGGGTTTGCTCGCCGCTTCTGGCCTCACGGGGGGCCCTTGCCAGGCCCCCAGGGCTCGCAGAAGACGACCCAGGGCCCAGGATGGAAGGGCGGCCCCGTCAGAAAGGGCCCGGGCCTCAGGGGGGTCACGCTGCGATGCACACACAGATCACGACCTCGGAGGGCTGGGGAGTATAGGGTCCGAGTGAAGAGGGGAGGACGGCAGGGCCATGCCGGCTCCGAGCGCGGGCCCCGTGCCCAGCGACCGCTCGACCAAGCCAAGCCCTCACGTCATAGCCGAGGCCTGGCCGCCCCTGGGAGAGGTGGACGCCCCAGCGCAGCGTGAGGCGTCGCTGGCGTTGTGGAGGATGATCAGTGGAGAGTAAGCGTGTTGCCTAGTAATTTCCAGATGTCTAAAACATGTGTTAAAACTTGTTTAAACATGTAAAAAGCATGTTTTGAACATTTACATGACATTTTCCGACATTTTAAACACGTCTTGAATTCGATGATCGGACTGTTAGGGTGTCCAGTGTCGTGGCATCCACAACGCTGGCGCGCAGGCCTGCCATGGTGTGGCCCCTTGGTTCAAAGGAGCAAAGAGGTCATGATAGTGATACTTTTCAGGAGTTTCACGGTTTCCAGGATTTCCAAGACTTCCCAATGTGCCATACGGGCTGCAGGAACGAGAGCTGCTAGTTGGAATTTCCAGAATGTATCCTGAGCCGCCGAGGCCATCTTGGACGCTCCACTGACCCGCGAAATGCCCCCTCCAGACCCAGGGGTTGGGGTAGGGTGAGGGGTCAAGACACCCTCCAGGTAGTAAGCCGTCTGGCTCACTCCCACCCGCCCTCCCAACACATAAGTAACACCCGAGCCTCAGCATGTTCCGCGGTCGCCTTTGGATGGACAGCTACTGGGAACCAAAGCCGACCCCAGGTGCGCGACGCTTGGGCGAGGTGCGCCACGCGTGCCAGGGGCGCCACGCGCGCCAGGCACCCCTGGGGCCCGAGCGTGCCAGGCACGCCTGGTGCGCCAGATGCTCCCTCCAGCCGCGCCAGGTGCGCCACGTCCGGGGCACGTGCAGAGTGTGTCAGGTGCGCCTGCGCACGTGACAGCACACATCGGGAAACATGTCGGCCCCCACCATCCATGTCGAAAACCAATGCCCATCATTGTGTCTGGTCGGCCTGCGCACAGCAGGCCATACGCCACCACTTGGCAGTGATCGCGGGGTGGCCGCGCACTATCCACCTTTAGCCGCGAGGTCCTTGCGCGCAGCAGGCAATATACTGACACCCCGCCATCCCTGTCAAACAACAATACAAAGTGCTCGCGGGCCTAACGAACATGACTCCAGACTTTGCCCCAAAGTGTACTTCGTATTTTTGACAGGGATGGTGTGGGGGGGGCCTCATTGGGCCTCATCGTTCCTGGTTGGCTGCTGGTCGACTGCGGGAGAGGGTGTATACTGATATGGAACAGTGATAAAGCTTCTCCCAGGGGGGAGGGAGGGGCGTTGGAAGAGGAACCGCTCTAAGCCACTCGCGCCCTGAGAGGCTGGTGGGATTACAGTGGAGACCCATGCCAAGAAGCACCCTGCGGGCCTCCAGGATGCCCTGGGTTTCTTTTGCCATGGCTAGCGTTGCGTTCCCAAACCAAACATCGATTGACGTTCTGGGGTCTCAGGGTTGGGTTCTCTTGTGGAAGGCTTCTCGTGGTCGAGCCCCTACTGTATCCCAGGCCAGTCTTGTCACGGCGTTCTTCTCGCCCCATCGGCGGGTCCGGCCCTTCAGGCCGAGGCCTCTTGCCGCGGCGGCCCTCTGGCGCGTGCGCGCGGGCGCGAGAAGGGGGCAGCCCGCGTGCGGCGGGCGCTGCGCTCCTCGCCACGCGCTCGGGACGGACCAAAGCACACAGGCACAAGCCGTCGTCGATGCCCTGGGCCACCATGGGAGACATGGGGAGCGGAGGGGAAGACGAGAGTCCAGAGGATGTGGGAAGACATGGGGGACCTTGGGATTCGTGTCTCTTTGCTTGGGTGCCCCTGGGCCCCTTTTCATGCACCTCGCGCCAATTGGCCCCGTCGGAGAACGGCGGGCAGCCCGGCGCCGCCGGGGGGGCCAGCGCCGATCCAGGAAGTCCGCGCGGACCTCCGGCAGTTTATGGCTGTATGCCGTTTTGTGGTGCCCTGGGGTCGGCCAAAAACGACACCACCCCACCCACGGCCCTCCATGTTGCGCTACGGCCCTTCGGGGTCCGTAGCGTATACCATGCAGAAACCCACGCCAGATGTCCTTGTATGCGCTACGGCCCGTGGGGCCGTAGGTGGGGTGGTGTCGTTTGTTTTCTGGTCCACTGGGGGACGCGCGGGAGGTCAGGCTTCTCCAGGCCATCCCTCAGAGATGATCATGGGGCTGGATAGTGCCAGTGCCTTCTCGCTGCCTGCATTCCCCTCCCTCGCAGAGCCGAGGTGGGCATCCGATGTGCAGCCGAAGCGGGCTGGTGCCGCGTTCTCTTCGGCAGCGCACCGAGAGAGTCCGTCAGCAGAGCACTTGGGAATGCCCAGCAAGAGCACCAGGGGAATCGTCGAGGGAGCACGGGGAGAGATTCGAAGCCCGACTGGAGAGCAGCCCGAGACTGTCTGGAGATCGCCGCGAAGGTCCTGGACGGGACTCTGAAGAGCCGCCTCGGGAGCACCAGGAGAGCGTGGACAATTGTCTACGCTTCGCGAATCCCCGCCAGCCCATTCAGAAGCCCTGCCCACGAGAGCTAACGGGAAATGGAAAGCAGAGTCGCATATAGTGAAACAGAGAGGTCAAAGAGAGGAGGGGGATAACGTGTTGAGCCATGTTGGAGGCTATCTTGGAGCATCGGAGGCCTTCTTGGAGCTATGGGGCTTTTTGGGGGCGTCTTGGCGTCCTCTTGAGGCTTTTTTGGGGCATTTTGGCCCTCTTGGGGCTCTTTGGGGGGTCTTGGGGTCCTCTTGGGGCCCTCGTGGGACCCTCTTGGGGCTCTCTTGGGGCTCTCTAGGGGCCCTCTTGGGAGCTATGGAGCGCCTCTTGGGGCCATCTGGGGCATCGACATAGCCTCTTGGGGCGCTCTTGGGGCCTTCTTGGGGCGATCTTGGGCGCTCTTGGGGCCGACTTGGGGGGGCTTCTTGGGCCCTTCTTGGCGCTCTCGTGGGCCATCTTGGGGCCATCTTGAGGCCTCGAAAGCGCATCGGAAGCGAACAGGCGACACTGCCAACATCATTGGTTTTCCGTAGGTTTTTGAAGGATTTTGGCTTCTCGGGGAGGTCCTGAGGGGCCTTCAAAAGCACTTGGATCCGTCTTGTGGCCTTCTTAGGGCCTCTTGGAGGCATGTTGTTAGCTATCTTGAGCCATGCTGGGCTATCTTGGGAGGCCATCTTGGGCTCTCTGAGGCCCTCTTGGAGCCATCTTGAGCCAACAAGGACCCCTCTGACACCTCACGGCCCCCCCCGTCTAGGTCCAGGGGAGGGGGTAGGGGGAGGGGTCAAGCTACCCACCCACCCGCAAGCCGTCTAGCTCACTCCCAACCCGCCCTCCCAACGCATAAGTAACACCCGAGCCTGAGCATGTTCAGCGGTCGTCTTTGGATGGACAGCTACCGGGAACCAACGCCGACCCAGGTGCGCGACGCTTGGGCGATGTGCGCCACGCGTGCCAGCGGCGCCACGCGCGCCAGGCACCCCTGGGGCCCGAGCGTGCCAGGCACGCCTGGTGCGCCAGATGCTCTCTCCAGCCGCGCCAGGTGCGCCACGTCCGGGGCACGTGCAGAGTGCATCAGGTGCGCCTGCGCACGTGACAGCACACATCGGGAACCATGTCGACCCCCACCATCCTTGTCGAAAACCAATGCCCATCATTGTCACCACCCCCGCCGTCCCTGTCAAACACCACTTGACAGTGATCGCGGGGTGGCCGCGCATGATCGTGATCTAGCCGCGAGTTTTTTTTTTTTTTTTTTGTTGTTTGTTTTTTTGTAAAACATGTTTTTTTGTTTGTCAGGGATGATATCCCTGCGCGCAGCAGGGAATATGCTGACACCCCCGCCGTCCCTGTAAACAACAAACTAATGTGCTCGCGGGCCTCACGAATATGACTCAAGACTTTGCCCCACAGTGTACTTTGTATTGTTGTTGGCAGGGGTAGTCGGGGGGGTCT